GGGTGGATGCAGACAGGGGTGACAAATTTAGGGTCTGAAAGGGGAAAAGGTTGTGATTACAGTGAAAACGAGCATTTTTTTTGGTTAAAGTTGGTAGCCTTTTTTTTGCTTCCACAGAACATGGCTGCTGGAACTTTAATTCCATTAGATCCAGTTATTTTTATTCTCGGCTTATTTTATTCTTTATAACTGAGTAACGAGAACATAAATCCGTAGCACTGTGCTCATGCTTCTAAATATAATGAGCAGAGGGAGAGGAGAAAGTTTGTGTTTGAAGCACATTGTAGCATCAAAGAAAAATGTAAAACCAGGGTTTTAATGATTAATTTTATTGTTATGTATGTGTTGTGGTCAGTGTAGGTTTGACACCTTATCAGAATAAAGCAAATTTAGATCTGTTCTGTCAAACCGAGTCACTGATTTTCAACGAGCTGTGTGAACCCTTCGRCCATCCATACGTCCTCCCTTTGATCAAAGAGGTGTGAGCGTGTGTTATGGAACCAACAGGACAGGTTTTTGTTGCTGAAAAAAACATTTTACTGTYGATCTGAGACAAAACGCATCAAACGATGGGCTCAACATCAGTCARCACGAGTTCAGCACCATGGAGAGCACCATGACTCGTTGGAGAGGAGCTCCTGCTCTTTGGTGATGTTCATATGAACACAAGTGTTGCTTAACATGGAGCAAACTGGTTTAAGGAATTTAAACCTCCCACCGTAGCCTGTGTTCACTGGAAAACTGGCCATCATTAGRTACACTGCTGCCTCTCAAAGACGGTACAGTTTATTTCTTTATTTCCTGCCTTAGTTCACACAGAACTATCTTTTTCTGGTTCATCTCTCTGAAATAAACTGCAACAATACTGTATATTTAAAACACATAAGGAACATTTAAAATATTTTACACATTTTAAAGTTAGTTGAAAACCATCATTTCAAGCCTGTTCTTGTTCTTTTAGGTTTAGGTTATTTCACTTTGCTTTTGTTTAAATGTCAACACAATGATTGATGATTTTTGTGTAGCTACAGRTCTGTAAAAAACAAAAACATCAATAAATCAATAAATACTTCCTGAACCTGGGATATGTTTGATAGACAAACATAATGATGCTCCTGATAATAGGTGTATAGTAACAAAGTACATTTACTTCTTTACATAATTTTTTGGGGAGTATCTGTAATTTGACCTAGTATTTGTTTAAATCATAATTTTTACTTTTATGTCATTACATTCAGAAGATAAAAATACWTTTACTTTTTTACTTAAAGTGCCTGCATGTACAGTATATTCTTCATATACAAAAAGTCAAAGAAAACATCTTTATCTGTAAGGAACTTGGCATAAAACACAATTCTTACCCATTTTGTCACATAACTGGCATTATTTTTTGACCTTGGTTCAGCAAAAGTGAAACAGGAAGTGACATCAAAGGGGAACTCTTTAAGAACGAAAACTCTCTGGTCTTTTTTTTTATCGAAACAATATTGCTAAACTCTGACTCCTCGTCTTCATCTCTCTGATATCGACTCWAAATAAATCGAAGAAACATCAAATTCTTCTCTACAGTCTGTGTTGTCAGCCATTTAAGTAACACTCTGTTCACATGCAGACATTCCCCTTTGACATCACTTCCTGTTGTTTCAAATGCAAATATTTCAACAACTGTTCATCTGAGTGGCGTAAAATTTGTTTTGTAATATGTTATTAATGTTATCTTTCCAAAGATGCATTCATAGTTATTACAAAAATCTGATGTCACGTGCACTTTAAATTTACCATCTTATGACTCTATAAATTTAAATACGACTCATGAACTTTTACTTTCATGATTATACAACGGGCAAAATAAGTATTGAACACGCCACCATTTTTTTCAGTAAATATATTACTAGAGGTGCTAATGACATGAAAWTTTCACCAGATGTTGGAAACAACCCAAGTGATCCATACATACAAAGAAATCAAACCATAAATGTCCAGAAATGAAGTTATTTGTAATAATGTGGAATGMCACAGGGAAAAAGTATTGAACACATGAAGAAAGGGAGGWYTAAAAAGGCATGGAAAGKCAAGACACCAGCTGAACTCTCTCAGTAATTAGAAAGCAAGCCTGCCCCTTGTCAGTGCAAGTTAATATCAGCTGGTTCAGTCCCAAATGATGGCCAGGTATCACACAAGAACCATCTGATGATGGGTAAAAGTAAAGAGCTCTCTCAAGACCTTCACAACCTTATTATTTACTTATTTTACCCGCTGTATGACTTCTACATAAATATTTTTCTTATCAATGAAATTCCTTTTTAACAAGATCATTTTCTTTTAAGGTATTTTTACTTTAACTTAGTCCTTTATCACGTTTTAAACACCAGTAAAGCTTCACAAATGCTTTAAACGCTGCATCCAAAAAAAATCAAGAGTTTCACCAGCGGTGCAACAGTGAAATGTCAGAGAGATCTAAATCATCAAGGATGGACAGGAGGACACAGTCTAGGGGACAAAGGGTTTGACATTTCTGTTAGTGGCATGCTGAGCTGGAGCAAATGAAGTTTTAGGGTCACCTGTGACTTTGACCTTTGACTCATCACAGGTGTGTCAAACTATTTCCACTATCAAGAAAGCTTAACAAAGTTCTTCCTGAGGGAACTGAAGAATCAAATTATTTTAAATGCCTAAAGAAGCAGTAATGATTTTTCTTTCCTTTTTCTTTTGCTGGCAGCATCTCAAACTGCCTCGGGACGCCCACATCAAACACAGAGCAGCTCCGCAGCTGGTGATTCAAACCTGCCAGATTATCATTAACATCAGTGGGACGAGGTGTCTGCACTGACTTTTAATGAGACTAAAAAAAAACAAAAACTCACCAGCAGCATATTTCTGTCCTGCTGCCGTCTGGCAAAAACGATGCAGAAGCATCCACTGCCAAACTGTCACACTCTGCTACAGAGTTCCTTTGGTTTAATTTATTGCATGTTTTCTGACTTGGAAACAAAAAAGAAGCAGATGGCGTGGCTGGCTACTGTAAGGTCTAATATTATTTCATTAAATCAAATCTTGAATTTTGGATTCTGCAGACYTTTACTTACTTTTAGTAGGATTCATTTAAAACCTTCTACATATGGTTAACTTTGTCCTGCTGGCCTCACTGTGACGGGGTGCAGCTGAAATCTCTCAGAGGACAACTTCATGTACTTAACTCCACTCTGGACCAGAATAAAGCCGCCCTGAGGAAATCAGAAATAACAGGAAAGTGCTGGTTTTGTCAATAACACCCTTATTAGTTGGAGGGGACATGTCAGTGTAGGAGAGGGTTTAATCCAATCAGCAGAGTAATTACAACTCCACAGCACAGCATGGCTGATGGCTGTACTGTCAGGGGGCTCAGAGGGGTCATTTACAGATGGAATCGCTTCCAATATGACCAAATTCCAAACAAAGGCCCTTTAAAGTTTTCCTCCCTCAGCTATCATCATCAATTTCAATTTAATTCAGTCCCTCAGACTTCATCTTTTTCTCCCGCTGCTCTCGCTTTATAATTGGAATCTCATCGTCGTCCTGCACCATTTAGCCCACTTTCCTTCTTGTTAATTAAGACCACCATGRCACTAACTCCCAGAATGCACTCCTCTGCCAGCGTGCACTTGGAAAAACAAACCACCAGATGTCACCCACYCCTCAGTGCCTCCAATCTGGAGTTTTATGAAGCTTAAAGGGCCAATACTATGTGTTTCTCAGGCATACATTTAAACACTATACCATAATAAAGTATCTATGTCACCTTTAGCTGTTATTAAAATGCTGTTTTTATGTTTAAATAGAAAATAAACTTATCTTTTCATCGCTTCCTCTTCTAAACACCTTGAAATTGGCCTCTGTCTCTTTAAAAAACAACCTTCGCATCTGTCTTGCCCAGTTTGGTGG